TCAGAGAATTTAATGTTAATTTCTCTACCATAAGCCGGCTCCATCGTCGTTTTAGAGAATTTGGCAGTACGTCCAACCGGCCTCACAACTGCAAACCGTGTATGGTGTCGTGTGGGCAAGCGGTTTGCTGATGTCAATGTTGTGAACAGAGTGCCCCATGGTGGCGGTGGGGTTATGGTATGGGCAGGCATAAGCTAAGGACAACGAACTCAAGTGCATTTTATCGATGGCAATTTGAATGCACGAAAATACCGTAACGAGATCCTGAGGGCATTGTGAGACCAATGTTTTTAAGGTATCTGTGACCAACAGATGCACATCTGTATCTACACACAATACCCCATAATGACAAAGCAAAAACAGGTTTTTAGAAATGTATTTTTATTCTTTTGAAATACTGAAATATCACCTTTACATAAGTATTCAGCCCCTTTACTCAGTACTTTGTTGAAGCACCGTTTGCAGCGATTACAGCCTCGAGTCTTCTTGGGTATGACGCTAAAAGCTTGGCACACCTGTATTTGGGGAGTTTCTCCCATTCTTCTCTGCAGATCCTCTCAAGCTCTGTCAGGTTGGATGGGGAGCGTTGCTGCACAGCTATTTTCAGGTCTCTCCAGATATGTTAGATCGGGTTCAATTCCGGGCTCTGGCTGGGCCACTCAGAGACTTGTCCCAAAGCCACTCCTGCATTGTCTTGGCTGTGTGCTTAGGGTCGTTGTCCTGTTGGAAGGTGAACAGTCGCCCCAGTCTGAGGTCCTGAGCGCTCTGGAGCAGGTTTTCATTAAGGATCTCTATGTACTTTGCGCTGTTCATCTTTCCCTCGATCCTGACTAGTCTCCCAGTCCCTGCTGCTGAAAAACATCCCCACAGCATGATACTGCCACCACCATGCTTCAGGCCAAAGAGATCAATCTTGGTTTCATCAGACCAGAGAATCTTGTTTCTCATGGTCAGAGTCTTTAGGTGCCTTTTGGCAAACTCCAAGCGGGCTGTGATGTGCCTTTTACTGAGGAGTGGCTTCCGTCTGGCCACTCTACCATAAAGGCCTGATTGGTGGAGTGCTGCAGAGATGGTTGTCCTTCTGGAAGGTTCTCCCATCTCCACAGAGGAACTCAGGAGCTCTGTCAGAGTGACCATTGGGTTCTTGGTCACCTCCCTGACCAAGGCCCTTCTCCCCCGATTACTCAGTTTGGCCAGGCGGCCAAACTTGGTGGTTCTTGGTGGTTCCAAACTTCTTCCATTTAAGAATGATGGAGGCCACTGTGTTCTTGGGGACCTTCAATGCTGCAGGCATTTTTTGGTACCCTTCCCCAGATCTGTGTCTCGACACAATCCTGTCTTGGAGCTCTATGGACAATTCCTTCGACCTCATGGCTTGGTTTTTGCTCTGACATGCACTGTCAACTGTGGGACCTTATATAGACAGGGGTGTGCCTTTCCAAATCATGTCCAATCAATTGAATATACCACAGGTGGACTCCAGTGAAGTTGTAGAAACATGCCAAGGATGATCAATGGAAACAGAATGCACCTGAGCTCAATTTCGAGTTTCATAGCAAAGGGTTTGAATACTTATGTAAATAAGGTATTGCTGTTTTTTTTTTAATGTTTAAAAACATTTGCAAAAATGTGTTTTCACTTTGTCATTATGGGATATTGTGTGTAAATTGCTGATTTAAAACAAATATTTAATCAATTTTAGAATAAGGCTGTAACGTAACAAAATGTGGAAAAAGTCAAGGAGTCTGAATACTTTCCGAATGCACTGTATGTGCCCTCTTGTCCTTCCTAGTTTACCTCAAACTCCAGCCTGGCCTCAGAGCCATACGAAATATACTTTACATATTTCAGAGCAGCACCAAGCCATATGATACCTACTAATGGTCTAGTTACTTGAGACAGAAACGAAAGTAGGGAGGTTGGTTGGGGAGGATGGGTGGACGTAATCTGCGACAGTCTAGCAATCCAAAGGTTGCATGCTCAAGTTGCGTCGGGGACAACAGTAGCATTTTAGCTAACCCAATTCACCTAACCTGCTATGTAAATTCACCTAACCTTTGTAGTTAGTTTCCCTAACCCCCAACATAAATTCTCCTTAATTATTGTTTAATGTTTTGGCGCAACAAGAAACCTGGTCTCAGATAAGGATGTGCAATACTATACATCTCCCAAGATGTATTATACGTTACATCATCCAATTCGTATGCTATTGTAAGACCGGGTAAGACGTATGATACTATACGTCCTCTAATTCTTATGATATTGTACGACCGCTATTCCATTCATAATGTAACCTAACGTAACGTAACATATCATACTAAATGGAGTGTCACAGTTTCACGTACAGAATAATACGAATTGCCCTGAGTCCACGTTGCAAACTCATTTTACCCCAATTCACCTATATATCTACACTTATATGAAACATTAGGAACACCTTCCTAATATTGAGCTGCACCCCCCTCCCCTTTTGCCCTCAGAACATCTCAATTCGTCGGGGCTTGGACTCTACAAGGTGTCGAAAATGTTCCACATGGATGCTGGCCGTCATTTGGGTGGTGGACCATTCTTGATGCACACGGGAAACTGTTGAGCGTGAAGAACCCAGCAGTGTTGCAGTTCTTGACACAAACCAGTGCACCTGGCACCTACAGTACTACCATACCCCGTTCAAAGGCACTTAAACCTTTTGACTTGCCCAATCACCCTCAATGGCACACATACACAATCCATTTCTCAATTTCTTAACACACACAAACCAAATCCTTCTTTAAACTCTCTTCTCCACTTCATCTACACTGATTGAAGTGGATTTAACATGTGACATAAATAAGGGATCATAGCTTTCACCTAACCAGTCTATGTCATGGAAAGAGCAGGTGTCCTTAATGTTTTGTATTCTCAGTGTATATGCCATTTAGCAGAAGCTTTTATTCAAAGCAACTTAGTCATGCGTACAAACATTTTAACTATGGGTGGTACCGTGAATTGAACCCATTATCCTGGCGTTGCAAGCACCATGCCCTACCAACTAAGCTACAGAGGACCACCTAACTTCTGTGCAGTAGATACTGGACAAGCTAGATTGTTTTGCAGCACAAACACAATTTTCTAAATATCATTCATTTGCATTTCATGTACAAACTTTCTAACATTATTGCCAGGATGCAATCCGATCGGATGTTGTAGCGTGCTTGACATTTAAAGGTAATTTCTGATTGAGCTGACATATGCAGTGTTTACCGTGAATTTCGAACTCTGCGAATGTGGGAACGCGCATTGTCAACAACGCCTGATCGGTATTGAATCCTGGCCTATAACAATATCACATTTCCAGTCACAAATTAACTCACCTCTGCATAGTGGGTGCTGGCTAAGCTAGGGTACATGTATTGTTTTTCTACACAAGATCTATTGGGACTTTCTATTGGAATATGTCTGCTTGCCTGGGTTACTGTAGTGCTGCATATTTTCACTCTGTTCTGCCTTCCTGAGTCTATAGGCCTGTGAAACAGTCCGTCACCTCTTGAGCAGGACAGGGGGCTGTGGTTGGGGGCTGTGCGTGTGTATGTGTGCGCAGGGAGGCTGGGGGGGGAGCAGCCATAAAAACCCAGGCAGGAGGGCACAAGGATTTATTTCACACATACACACACTGCACACACACAAAGCTCACGTTTACGCCTGCACACTGCACGAGTGGGAGCTTATGAAGGAGATATTGTACATGTGGGGCAGCGAGTTTCGTGTGTGTACATTTCAGTGTGGGTGGGTAGCTCAGTAGTCCCCTGTAGCTCAGTTGGTAGAGCATTGCGCTTGCAACGCCAGGGTTGTGGGTTCGTTTCCCACGGGGGGCCAGTATGAAAATGTATGCACTCACTAACTGTAAGTCGCTCTGGATAAGAGTGTCTGCTAAATGACTAAAATGTGAATGTGTGTGCAGACGGACATGCCTGATTTTGTTGTGTGCCTCTCTGGACTTCTATATGAGTGTTGCGTTTGTGTGTGTACTGCACTTGTACGGTATGTACCCGCATATATATGACAGTCACTTGTTTGTCTCTGTACATTATAATGTATACAGTTGTGTTGTGTACATCTGCATGTGCATTGGATGTGTAAGTGAGTGCATGCATGAACATGAGGCCAGCCCAGGAAGTGACTCCACCCTGGAGCAATGTACAGAATTTGCCGTGGCACCTCCTGTGGGGCGTGGGGGGAAGCCCATGCAGGCTGCATGTGTAATGGCAGATGGAGAGCAGAGCTGGTGAGCTTCACAACGGCCCATAGCTTCTCCATCTTCTCCCTCTCAAAAGACTCCATTGTTCCCAGTGTGGAGAGAGATCAGAGCTAAAGGGGGCTGAAGCCGGTTGACTGGGGCGGCTGGGGCAGTGGGTGTTGGGATGCTGCCTAAAACCACATGGAGGAGAGAGCAAGACACAGGCCAGCTCTGTGTGCTTCACAGCTCACTGTTGGAGCGCTGCCCCAGTTTAGCAGTGCCGTACGAAAAACTCCACAACACAACATAAAAAACACACATAACTGTCAGAGAACCACCCCGGGCATCGAAAGCCAACCAATGGACTCAACGGTCTCAGGCAACCCATACAACCCCACCGGCGACTGCATTTGACCGTTGTTTGGTTTGTCTTGATTCACTGGAATAGTGTTGTACTTTTATGCATCACCTGACTGGACCAATCAGCTTTTGCCACTGACTTCTGCAAGCTGGGTAGTGGTGTGTGCTACTTTTACACTAAATACTATGGGAAACAGTTTGGGGTAAAATCGCAGTATCATGAGCTAATTAATTACTTGCTGTTTCACCACCACTTATTTGGTGTTGGACATTCTAGGGAGAGTTACTTAGGATTGTATTTTACTTTAGAAAGTGTCATGGAAACAAATTTGATAAGCAACAGCTAAGAAACAAAGGAGCAACAAAGACTGCAACATTTAAATTCTACCAACACAATTTTTTTTAAGAACTAGTCACAAGACAGTGTATTTGTGGAGTGTTTTCACTTTTTTATTGAAACAGTACGATCAAAAACACTGCAATTAAATAAAAGGAGTCAAACAAATCAGACAGTAAAATTAAAGACCTAGAGTTGATCATATGGAGCAAAAGCGGAAACAAACGTCGTCGCAAACGATTGCAGTGTCTAAAGCGGATTCATTAAACAATTATCATCACTCATTCAGTGCACTTATTAACTGAGTTCTTAAAGCAAGCGGAGCTAAGCTGAGACTGAATTATTTTTACACCCATTAATGACTACTAACGACTATGAAGAAAATGTGTGTGGGGGGGCTGCATTTAAAGATTGTGTATACTCTATTCCAACTAAAGTAAGCAGTAGTATGGTGTATACATTGTAAACGACAATGCTAGCAGAATGGGGGCTATTGACCACTACCTGTAAATGGAACACATTTTTCAGTGAAAACCTGAAGTCGTCAAAGCTGTCCTATTGGAATGGGTGGCAGTTAAAGTACAGTCAATTCACATTAATGTACTTCAATAGTAAAATCTCCAAACGATGCAGGGAATACCAGAGACAGTGGCACAAACCCTTCTGCTAAATTTCACAGATATGTATTAGGTTTTTATATGTCAGTGTTAAAGCTGGCAGAATGTCACGTTACACTTGCAAATGAGGCGTCTTTTCATTAGCCCCTCGCTAACCCTCAGAACATGAGCACAATGTCAATACAACTTCTGCATACAGTGCTTCATATAGTTGTTGAACATTTCTGTAGTGAGGGACTCATTGGCTAGGTGTTAAGGTGACAAAATACTAATGTGGTTGGTTTTTCAGAAGGATTTTCAGTTAGGTCCATTGGCCACAATAGCCTATGGCTGCTTTGCAATGTTCCATATACTGAATGCTATAGTGAGCAACTGCAACATATGATAAAGTAATAACTATAGTCCCTTTGCATGGTATATACACCCTATGGAATTCACAACATTCTCTCCCGTCTCCTTTTTTTCCATATTCCCATTTTTTCTTGTGTCGTTTTTTGTATCGTTTTTAGGTCCTCTTCACCAACTCAAATGCACATCTGTGTTAATGTACACACCACTGCATAAGAGAGAGCGTTTTCTACCACAAGTTAGATAATCCCTTACTTATTTTTACGAATCCAAATGAAAGACCCTGAAATTCACTGTGACATCCTGTGGGCAACCTTTTTTTCAGTTTGGTTGTTGGTATGGGGGGTTGCTGTGTGGTTGGGCAGGACCGTTGATGTCAATGGCTCTGTCTTGGGGTTGGGGGAGAAGAGGAGAGGTGGGCAACCATCCTCCCCCACACACCTTCCCCTCCTTTTGTCAACAGTCCAAGATCCTGGTTAAGTTAGAGTAGCATGCTTGTTTAATGACAGGAAATTACATAGTTCAGAATTGCCAGAACTTTTTGGGGACTTCCTGTCTTGCAGCCTTTCTCCTCAGGGGCTGAGGGATGAAAAGAGAAGGAGAAAGAGAGAGTAAGACACACAGGCCAACACACATAAACATCTGGTTATGGCTCATAAAAATGTCAGTTGATGGTTTGGAAAATAAAATATAAAACGTTTATGATTTTAAAGATAACACAGCACCTACAGAACATTACTTTTAGTAGATACTGCAGTTTTTAATGAAATGTCATAATTCATAAATATAAGGAGTCTCCATTGACCCCAAAATGAGTAAAGAAAAACACGGATTATTTTAATGTAATTAATTCAAGTCACACACTTCATTATACTGGGTGTTATCTTGGTTATGGACACTGTACAGACATATTTGGCTTGGGATAAGGATATTGTTTGTTTTCAATGGTTTTAAATAAGGAGAAACAGACTTGAAATCATGATATTTGTGAAAGTAAAATGTATTATATTCCAAATCTAGTCAATTCAAACAAAGAGTTTCAAAATGGACCAATGACAACAACAAATATTTTTGAATTAGTTATCGAGGTAGAACATTCAAGATGACAGCCTTGAATTGTTACTCCGTTTCAGACCAATATGTGATCGAGATTGGCAACATAATCAATCGCAATTAACGATGTAAAGCCAAACGGCTGTCTTCTGGAAAATTCTGCCACCACAGCAGGGAAACCATTTATCAAATGGACCTACTAATTCAATACACAAGGCGTTTGACCGAAATTGAATCTCAAATAGAGCCACTTGTTTCAGTGAATGAACAATGCCTGATGGCTCATAGGCCCATGAGTGGATGTCTCAGAGAGGAGTAGCAACCAATAGCCTGTCGGACAGTTTGTCTGCCTGACAGTTTGTCTGCATCCCAAATGACATCCGATTCCCTTTATAGTGCACTACTTTTGAAAGTAGTGCAGGGAATAGGGTGCCATTTGAGATGCAGCCTTTGTTATGTGTCTGTGATGTTGGACCATGGAGAGTCAGGGGGTTAAGATTATTAACTGGGATAACAATCAAAGAGAAAATTACAGAAACCAAGATGCTTTCTTTTTTGGCAGCCTTTTTCTTAGCAGCAGCAGCAGCAGCCCTATGGCATAGAAAACGTTCCCCGTTAGCAGGCAAGCACATCCCCAAATATGACAGTATTCAGAGGAAGAGGTGTTGTAGAGAGTACAGCAGCGGTCTGTTGGAACATGCTTCTTGTTCCCATTTGAAAAGTTAATACAACTTCCTTTTCAAAGGAATACACACACCTCTATTTGAATCTTTGATGTTAAGAGGACCAGTTATGGTTGAAAAGTGATGCAGGTTGTGTCTTACCTATTAAACTACATTCTTCATAACACCCTCTACACCCATTTCACCATAGTGGCTTAAAGGGATAGTTTGGGAATTTGGCAATGAGGCTCTTTATCTACTTCCCCAGAGTATGTATCTGCATGCATAAGTTGTGGAGTATTGTGCATGGTTTTATTGTGCATGGTTTTATGGTAGCTTCATGCTTCTACAGCATGCTTAGTCCTCTCCCAAGATCATGACAAGGCAAACAGGACATGCAGAGTGTGTATGCGTGCATGTGCATGCCTGCATATGAATGTGCGTGTGTATCCATAGACATAGAATGACTCATTCTAGTTCAATATGTGTATCCCTTGGAGGTACTTACGAGTATTTACCCATTCTCCTCACCACGGCGATCACCACGGCGATGACAACGATCACTGCCACTAATGCACCAATAACAATACCCACCACTTGTCCAGAGCCCATACCCTCTGTGGAAGGAACACAAAGGCTGAGTTACTCCAGCAGACCGACCTCAATAGGGAAACAACAACACAGGAAGGAAACCAAGAGGAGAAGGAAAAAATGAATGGAAAGAGGGAAAGACAGAACAAAGACAACATCAACTAAAAGGCAAGAATAGAAATTAAGAGACCAGGGGGCAGAGCAATCTCATGGTGTCTTGAGCTCTACATATCCTTGGCCTCTATTTGATTCCCCTCTATGGGAGCAGACAGACTGTAGCATCGGGAGGATTTCCTCAGCTTCATGGTGTCTCTATATCTCTATCTAATTGCAGATATCTCCTATCCTGAGATCCTCAGTCCTTACCCTCTGGCTCTTCCACCACCACCTCCTCCTCCTCAGACTCTGTAGCTGCCGTGGCCTCGGCTTCGGGCTCCGCCGGGGCCTCGGTGATGATGGTAGGGGCCTCTGTTGCGGCCGTCTCCTGCTTGGCAGCTTCAGTGGCGGCGGCAGGGGCTTCGGTCTCCACAGAAGCGACCTCCGTCGCCTCGGGGGCAGCAGCCTCGGTAGCGGCGGGTTCTTCGGTGGCAGGGGTGTCCGTTACGACCTCCTCGGCCGCAGCCTCGGGTTCAGCTGCCGGGGCATCGGTGACTACGGGATCTTCCTCTTTGGGGGCCACGGTGGCCTCGGGAGCAGCAGGGGCGTCTGTCACCAGCTCTACTGGTGTCACCAGTGTGCCTGAGGGACAGCAAAGAGAGGTCAGAGACTGGTAGAGGCAAATTAACAATATTCGCACATGCTGAAGAGAAAGGCTACATTTGTTGATGACATACATGATAATTTCTTTTTGAATGTAATAATAATAATAATATGCCATTTAGCAGACGCTTTTATCCAAAGCGACTTACAGTCATGCGTGCATACATTTTTGTGTATGGGTGGTCCCGGGGATCGAACCCACTACCTTGGCGTTACAAGCGCCGTGCTCTACCAGCTGAGCTACAGAGGACCACAATGTGATGTTAATCCCCTAAACAACAGCTTGTGGAGTCCTATTCACCATTTGGTTTCTCTCTGTCATTTCACAATAGTTTTGAAATGTAGTAGCTGGAAAAAGAGAATGACGGTTGGAAAGTCCCTCATTGCAAGGGCATGGTGAGAGAATTTGAGAGAAAAACTACATAAATATTAACATTCTTCTTCGACATTATGTTCCCAAGCCTAAGGCTTGACTCATCAGTAGCAGTGAGAACATGGCTGCCACATCCCATGACTGAACAAACGTTGGTCCTCCCTCCTCCTCCCCAGTCCCACCCACCCCGCCCCTCTCCATCCTGTCTTGGGCCGTGTTTGCGCACTCGCATGCCACACCCTCTGCCTCATTTGCTGTTCATGGAGTCTCCATCTTAACAGGCCCTGGATGGGGATGGCAGGAAGTCAGCAGATGAGGCCATACCATTAAAACACCAAGAGGGGTAAGAAACAATGGACACTTCAGTATAAAACAACACAACTAGGTGCTTAACAGTTGTTGCAGATTGCTTGAGAAAACGGCATCCAAATTACTCGGATGTGTTCGAATTAGTTGTTTGTGATGTTACCAGAGAGACCAAAGATCTACACGATCTCAACTTTAAAAAATCCTCTCATCTGGCCATTTTTGGATGGCAATAACAGTTGGAAAGGAAGCTCTTTGAGCTGAGCTCAGTGGACTGTCAATGCTTGTAGTGAAATGTACTATAATCTATCCTATAATTGTATGAAACCCTCTTGTAATAAGAATAGCCTCTTTGTTCAAAGGGTTGGACCGCAAAATAGAAGCTGAGTGAGACCTTACTGTAGCACTCTACATATCAAGTCCTATCTGTGCCTGTTCCCTTCCAGACCACAACTGAAAGCTTTGCTTGGACAGTGCAGCTTCAAAATTATTAAGTAGAAGTCCATTTTAGTGGAGGACTGAAATTATGGTAAACTTGCAACATGTTCTGCTGCCTTCTCTCCTTGCTCCTGAGAGTACTCTTTGCCCTTTCGAATCTGCAGTTCGAAATGTCTCTGAACTCCGATCTGTCTAAACTTAAAACCTGACATCATTTCTTTGCCGTTTTCCACTGATTCTTCTAAACCCTTTACAATAGAGAATGTTTTACGAGGTTAAAAATAACATTCCTTCCAACTGTGCTGGGTAATACAGCTGTGCTAGTGAGTAAGAGAACAGGATTGTTGCCCTGTCTCCCTCTCTCTCGCTCTCTCCCGCCCCTCCTTCCCACTATGCTCCCCCACTCACTACCTCTCCCTCTCTCTATATCTCTCTCCCACCGTACTTTTCTCTCCATCCCACTACCACTCTTTCTCCCTATCTTCTCCCTGCCCCGCCTCCACCCCGTGGATGAAGTTGCTCCTGATAAAGATTTTGGGAATGCTGTAATGTTAGCTCTGCAAGAGGAGAGCGGGGTGATGTGGAGAGGGAGAGAGAGCGGTGTAAAACGGAGGAGGGAAGCAGGAATGGTATAGAGAGACCAGCGGCAGCCACTTTCGTTTATTCGCTCTCTCACTCGTCCTGTTCCATGAACAGGGGCCTAGTTCTACAGTCTGTCTCTGGTTTAATGTCCCATCATAGCCTGACCTCAGAGCAGATGTGTGGTTGTGACAGAGGAGGCTGGTGGGAGGAGCTATAGGAGGACAGGCTCATTGTAATGGAATTAATGGAACGGTATCAAACATCAAACATGAAAACCACGTTTGATGCTGTTCCACCTATTCTATTCCAGCCATTACAATGAGCCCGTCCTCCTATAGCTCCTCCCACCAGCCTCCAATGGTGTGTGAATGCTTGAGTTTCAGTGTGTGTGTGTGTGTGTGTGTGTGTGTGTGTGTGTGTGTGTATCATCAGCTCCCTAAATCACCGCTGGGCATTAAAGGTCTGTCTCGTTGACCCTGATTTAACATTTCTCTCAAACAAGCTCCTTGGGGAGGAGGGGGGGACCATAAAAGGCAGGCAAACAGGCAAAGGGGCGAGAGTGAAAAGTGAGAGAGTGACAGAATACAGCAAAGGGCCGGAAAGAAGCAGTGGGGCCCATATGGGGTCGGGATCCTGCCTGTCGGACAGTAATGGCATCGTGAGAGAGAACGACAGAGAGGGGGAGAGAGAAAAATATACAGTGTGAGAGAGAGGGAGGGAGCAGGACACATCCATCACCATCACAATCAGCTGCCACTGAGACTCCCCTGTGTGTGTGTGTGTGTGTGTGTGTGTGTGTGTGTGTGTGTGTGTATGCGAGTGTGGGTGTGTGTAAGTTTAGGGGGGAGATATGCCTGTGCTAAGCTGTCTGTAGACAGGAAGGGCCCATCTGCAGACGTGTGAGGGAGTGTGTCTGCTGTGGCCCCATCCCATCTCATCACGGTATGGCCCGCGCAGTACCGCTAGCCTCCCATGCTAACCGTAGGAGTTGCACTTTGAGTTGACTGGGAGAGGTCTGATAGCCAGAGTGGAATATTCCCACCGGCTCTTATCTTAGACACAATAGTGTCTACATACAGGCCATGTTTTTTTCCTCGAGTGGTTGAATCAACGTTGTTTCCATGTCATTTAAAACAAACAAAATCAAGGTCACCAATGGCACAAGACTTCTATCGAGCCGTTTATCCTGTGAACTTAAAAAATATATAGGCTAAATATCACCAATATATCTCAAGCTGACTGCTGTGAAATATGGAGTCACCAAAACAAACATAGCGATAAATCCAGTGAAACTCATTAATCTATTATTAAGTAGACTTTAACAGTACATTAAGTTAACCCCCCCCTCCTCTTGGCAGCAGCTAATAGGGATCCCTTAATAAATAAAATAAATACAGCAATATTAATTGAGATGGCTTAAAAGGAGCCACAATAAATATATCAAGGGAGCTTTAGCAATATATCAATTGAATGTCCAGAAAGCCATCACATGATACCATCAGTTCACTGTTGTATAAGTTATTTTTGTTTTTCTCTTCACTCTGTGTCTGAGCCTGTGGCGTAGGTGCTAGAGGAGTGAGACATTCATGTTCACGTTGACAGTGAAGACACACAAGCCCTTGGTTCGGCTATGTTGTGGAGGTGCCCTCTCGGTCTAATGGCAGGGCTGAATTACCCTCTCTGTCAGTGCCTGCCACACCAACCCTACACCTCTGTCTGGGGCTACCGCGTTCACAAGCTAAAATGGCCTCCGCCTTGGCCGACTCAAACAGATCTGTATTTTCTCTCCGCACAGATTTGGCATAAAAGAGGCAGGTCTACAACTTCAAACTTTCACATTTTGGATAGCATAAAAAAAGGCCCGCTGGTGACGTAAGCGATGCTTTCCTGAGTTGATTTTACAGCGTGCGTCTCATTTTTAGTGTGTGAGCGCACACTTGAATCACTATACAAGCACGCATGGACAGAGGGTATTGACCCGGGTCTTTAGCCAGATGTGTTGGAGTGAGTCTTTTGAAGGCAAGAGGCTCAGACAAAGATCATTATGAGGCAGGAGGGGCTTGGGCGAGGAATGCATAGGGAGTCAAGTGGGTAGAAAGAATCAACAGGCTCTGTTCGGAGCGTGTGCAGGTTTTTCTACTTATTTTATTCATATTATTTGTATTTTATTTGTCAGGGCGTGGAGCAGAGAGGAGCAGCTTTAGGAGTTAACGCTCTTCCAAAATGGGCCTTCGTGAAAAGGGCTGCCTCTGGTCGGTAAAGGTTGCCGTTTAAAAATAAACCCCCCTCAACTGCCCCCTGGGCCAGCCCTAGACTCATCAACCGAAAGTAGGGGGAATAGTAGGAGAGGAGGGGGCGGCCGGAATGGGGGTTGAGGGGTGCTGGTAAAGCTTGATACCCTGCCAAAGATGGGTAAATGTGGAGGGGGTGGTGGGCCCTGTCAGTCTAACAACATGCGGTAGGGGTGGGGCAGCAGGCAGTAGCCCTCACTGTTAAGCCCTCACGTAGCCGGGTGTTCTCTCTCACGCTCCCATCCATATGACAGTCTTAAATATAGAGCTACCCTCTATTAATACCCACACACAAACTAGCCCAGCCCTGCTGCACTCTGTACTGTCTCTGCTCACTTTTCTCCCTCCCTCCCCATGGGGAAAGGCTTTCCTACCTAGGACTTGCAAGGGAGAGTGGGAGAGGGAAAGAGAAAGATAGGGAGGGATATGCTTTCGGATAAACGTGTACAGTGTGTATATAAGGTCAGACCCGAGCAATGTTTGGTAGCCTTCCAAAGGATATTCCTTTTTCTCACTGCCAGCAGCCAAGAAATCATGTGCACGAGGCACAAGACCTCACACCATTACATCACATTCCCTCATCACAGTCTCCAAATCCAACTTTTCCTCCTCCCCGAGGCTTGGGGAAGGGGTGTTGGGGGAGGGAGGGAAGGAGAGAGGGAACTGTTAGAATCGACACAGACTATCCACCCAGTCGCCCCTCTTTATTACATTAACAGCTTCAGCCAGAGCTCTTCTTTTTCCATCCAGGATGAGCCAAAGCAATTCACTGCTAAATGAAACTCACAACTTATATCTAGTGGAGACTCCAGAGGAGAATACAAGATGCCGATACCACAGTTGTACACATTTCAAATGAAAAAATAACTACTGTGAAAAACTAAATAAAAATAAACTATACATCAAACAAACCAAAGAGAAGGTGTGTTCACTTTTCCTTGAGAGAGAAACTTTAGAACTAAGGACAAAGAACTAAGAGCAGCCCCAAGATTCAAATTCAGGACGCGGCAGGACACAAGCCAAACAGACAAAGGGTGTGAGAAGAGAGGTGTGGTGTGTGAGAGTGTGTGAAAGCCAGGCAGAGTGGCCAGACAGAAAAGACACAGTGTGCCAAGAGGGCTCGAACCCTGGGTGTTGACTTACTTGCGTGTGCGACGGCACAGAAGGGGCCGACCAGGGCCAGCAGAAGCAGCAGCTGAACTTTGATCATGATGACAAGTAGTCTTCTCCTCTGGTCAATGGTGTACAGAGACCCCAGGGCAAAGAGCAACACTAGACCCTCTCACACACAGCACCACATGTACTGCAGTCTCCAGGGAGATAGCAAAAAAGGAAAAGGTCTTGAGGAAAAAGTTTCCAAAAAAGTCCCAGGGAACTTGTTGCAGTTGTAGATAGAGACACGGATGGTCAGCAGCAGTAACGGCAGACGGGCACGGCTTCGGAGGCTGAGGGAGAAAGGCGTGGAGCGCTCGATGGATGTCGACAGGGCAGGAGAAGAGAGAGAGAGAGAAGAGGTCTGGCCGGCTGCTTGGTAGAATGGAGAGAGACAGGCACAGGGCAAGGGAAAGAGAGAGTGTGAGTGTGTCGGGAGTGGAGGAGGGGTGCTGGTACTGTCGGGGTGTGTGATGGTGAGTGGGGGGCTGGGCAGTGTAAGGTGGTCTCTGCCCTGGTCCTGCCTCCCAACTTGAACAGTCCAGTCAGCGCTGACTGCAGACTGCCCTGCAATACCAGCAGCACACACAGAAATATATAAGTAAATACACCAATATATTTATACACAAGGTAGACACCACAAAAACATACGCAATTAGTTGCATACAAATATACCCTCAAAACAGATACCTTTTTCCCCACACAAAATAAAATAAAAATGCAGCACAACATAACATTTCTGAAAAACAATTCCATTCCTCAGCTACTAGGTCTTGACATACTGTCAATTGAGAAATGTTTTGACAAAACATGAGTCAGTAAGTGTTCAACCCATTTGTTAAGGCAAGCCTAAATAAGTTCAGGAGTAAAAATGTGCTTAACAAGTCACATAATAAGTTGCATGGACCCCCTCTGTGTGCAATAATACTGTGATTTCTGAACGACTACCTCATCTCTGTACACCACACATACAATTATCTGTAAGGTCCCTCAGTCAAGCAGTGAATTTCAAACACAGATTCAATCACAAAGATCAGCTTTTCCAATGCCTCTCAAAGAAGGGCACCTATTGGTAGATGGGTAAAAAAAAAAGACGTTGAATATCCCTTTGAGCATGGTGAAGTCATTAATTACTTTGGATGGTGTATCAATACACTCAGTCACTACAAAGATACAGGTGTCCTTCCTAACTCAGTTGCCGGAGAGGAAGGAAATCGCTCAGGGATTTCACCATGAGGCCAATGGTGACTTTAAAACCATTACAGAGTTTAATGGCTGTGATTGGCGAAAACTGAGGATGGATCAACAACATTATAGTTACTCCACAATACTAACCTAATTGACAGAGTGAAAAGAAGGAAGCATGTACAGAATAAAAATATTCCAAAATATGCATCTTGTTTGCAATAAGGCAGTAAAGTAAAACTGCTAAAAAAATGGCAAAGAAATTAACTTTATGTCCTGAATACAAATGTTATGTTTGGGGCAAATCCAAAATAACACATCACTGAGAACCACTCTTCATATTTTCAATCATGGGTATGCTTGTCATTGGAAATGTAGTTTTTATGACAAAAAGAAACGGAATAGACCTAAGCACAGGCAAAATCCTAGAGGAAAACCTGATTCAGACAAATTCACCTTTCAGCAGGACAAGAACGTAAAACAAGGCCAAATATACACTGGAGTTGCTTACCAAGATGACATTGAATGTTCTTGAGTGGCCTGGTTACAGTTTTGACTTAAATCGGCTTGAAAATCTATGGCAAAACTTGAAAATGGCTGTCTATCAATGATCAACAACCAACTTCACAGAGCTTGAAGCATTTTTTAAAGAATAATGTGCAAATATTGTACAATCCAGGTGTGCAAAGCTCTTAGAAACTTACACAGAAAGACTCACTGCTGTAATCGCTGCCAAAGGTGATTCTAATATGTATTAACTCAGGGGGTTGAATACTTATCTAATCAAGATATATTAGTGTTTTATTTTTCATTATTTATTTTGATTTTTTACAAATGTTAGAATTTTTCTTCCACTTTGACATTAAAGTATTTTGTATAGATCGTTGACAAAGAAATTACAATTAAATACATTTTAATCCGACTTTGTAACACAACAAAATGTGGAAAAAGTAAAGGGGTGTCAATACTTTCTGAAGGCGCTGTATTTGTGTATTGAAGATCTAATAATGAAAGAGAAGGATTGCTGTTTTTAATTTGGTCAAGTTTGTGTGGATGAGGTGGGAAAAGTATTATTATCCATCAATAATGATAAGCCACCAGGTATAGACAACGTAGATGGGAAACTATTGAGAATGGTAGCAAACGGTATTTTTTAAATTTTTTTATGCCATTTAGCAGACGCTTTTATCCAAAGCGACTTACAGTCATGCGTGCATACATTTTTGTGTATGGGTGGTCCCGGGGATCGAACCCACTACCTTGGCGTTACAAGCGCCGTGCTCTACCAGCTGAGCTACAGAGGACCAGCTCAGCTGTATTGCCACCCTTATTTGCCATATCTTTAACCAAAGCCTAAAGGAGTGTGTGTGTCCACAGGTGTGGAAGGAAGCTAAAGTAATTCCACCACCTAAAAATAGTAAAGCACCCTTTGGTGGCTCAAACAGCCGCCCAATCAGTTTGCTGCCTGTTCTTAGTAAACTGATGGAGTAAATTGTGATTGACCAAATACAATGCTATTTTTCAAAGAACAAGTTAACTACTGACTTTCAGCATGCATATAGGAAAGGGCACTCAACATGTACTGCACTGACTCAGATGACTGATGATTGGTTGAAAGACATGGATAATAAGATGATAGTTGGAGCTGCATTTTTAGATTTCAGTGCAGCCTTTGATGTTGTTGATCATAATTTGTTATTGAAAAAACGAACTTGTTATGGCTTTAGATCACCTGCCATCACATGGTTGGAGAGTTACTTGTCCAATAGAACTCAGAGAGTATTCTTCAATAGAAGCTTCTCTAACATCAGATATGTACAGTGCGGTATCCCTCAAGGCAGTTGCCTTGGACCGATACTCTTGTCTATTTTAACAAATTATTTGCCACTTGTCTTACAAGAAGCTAAAATGACTATGTATGCTAATGATTGTACACTCTACACATCAGCACCTACAGCAGTGAGCTCACTGAAACTCTTAGCAAGGAGTTACAGTCACTTTTAGAATGGGTAATTAAGAATAAACTTGGTCTTAAATACATCTAAAACCAAAAGCATTGTATTTGGTTTAAAGCATTCTCTTAGACCTAAAACTCACCTGGAGTTGTGCATAAAGGGTGTGACCATTGAACAAGTTGAAGAAGCTGAACTCTTAGGAGTAACATTGGATGGTTATCATGGTCACGTCATATTGACAAAGTTGTTGTCAAGATGGGGAGAGGTATGTCTGTTATAAAAAAATATGTTCTGCGTTTTTGACACAAAGATCAACTGTACTAGTGCAGCAAAGAAAGACCCAGCAAAGCTGCAGGTGGCTCAAAACAAAGCAGCACGCCGTGCCCTTAACTGCACACACAGAACTAACAACAACATGCATGATAGTTTTTCATGGTTGAGGGTTGAGGAGAAAGACTAATTCTCTGCTAGTCTTTTTAACAAAATGTTTGTGTTGAAAATGCCTAACAACTTGTATAATCTAAGGCCAAAAGTATGTTGACACCCCTTCAAATGAGTGGATTTGGCAATTTCAGCCCCACCTGTTGCTGACAGGTGTATAAAATCGAGCACACAGCCATGCAATCTCCAGAGACAAACATTGGCAGTAGAATGACCCGTACTGAAGAGCTCAGAGCCCAAAAGACCGGTCATCAGGAGTCGGAACGAAAGCACCAGCTCCCGACACCTCTGAATTTTCCTCACATGGGCTGACATACAATTTACACTGGCCCGATTAACAGTCATTTGCGGCGTGCACAAATGTAGCATATATGTACATACCCCACCAGACACACCACTATGGGTTTCTTCACGGTACCCAAACCAAAAACAGATTTAATGCATCGCTCAGTTATGTATAGGGCCACGTCATAGTGGAATGCTCTGCCACCAGAGGTTACTCAGGCAAAAAGCAAGTTTCGCTTTAAAAAAACAAATCTTGAATCACAGCGCCTCTCCTCTTTCTAAAGATATGATTTAACGGTACTGTATATAAGAATATGTATATATGAATAGTGTGTAAATAGTATTTTTGTTGTCTCTTGGTGTCTTTCCAATATATAACTCTAATTTTAATATGTTGTTCTTGTCTATAACTTTTCTGTACTTCATCATGTATTTGTATGTTTTATGTGGACCTCAGGAAGAGTAGCTGATGCATGTGCAGTAGCTAATGGGGATCCTAATAAACTAAACACAAAACCTTTACAGTGAGCAGAGAAATACATACTAAACAAAGTTTGTCCGCTGTTTGAATTCTCATTCATTCAATGATATGCAAGCATTTCAATTTGATCAAAATGACACCAAGAAAGATGTCGTCATCATGCTCCATCATCAGATTGTGATCTTAGATTCAGCTAATGGCGAGTTTTCCTCATTCACTTCCCATACATTGGACTAAAAGGAGTGCTACAGTGGGGAGAACAAGTATTTGATACACTGCCGATTTTGCAGGTTTTCCTACTTACAAAGCATGTAGAGGTCTGTCATTTTTACCACAGGTACACTTCAACTGTGAGAGACGGAATCTAAAACAAAAATCCAGAAAATCACATTGTATGATTTTTAAGTAATTAATTTGCATTTTATTGCATGACATAAGTATTTGATACATCAGAAAAGCAGAACTTAATATTTGGTACAGAAACCTTTGTTTGCATTTACAGAGATCATACGTTTCCTGTAGGTCTTGACCAGGTTTGCACACACTGCAGCAGGGATTTTGGCCCACTCCTCCATACAAACCTTCTCCAGATCCTTCAGGTTTCGGGGCTGTCGCTGGGAAATACGGACTTTCAGCTCCCTCCAAAGATTTTCTATTGGGTTCAGGTCTGGAGACTGGCTAGGCCACTCCAGGACCTTGAGATGCTTCTTACGGAGCCACTCCTTAGTTGCCCTGGCTGTGTGTTTTGGGTCGTTGTCATGCTGGAAGACCCAGCCATGACCCATCTTCAATGCTCTTACTGAGGGAAGGAGGTTGTTGGCCAAGATCTCGCGATACATGGCCCCATCCATCCTCCCCTCAATACGGTGCAGTCGTCCTGTCCCCTTTGCATAAAAGCATCCCCAAAGAATGATGTTTCCACCTCAATGCTTCTCGGTTGGGATGGTGTTCTTGGGGTTGTACTCATCCTTTTTCTTCCTCCAAACATGGCGAGTGGAGTTTAGACCAAAAAGCTCTATTTTTGTCTCATCAGACCACAGGACCTTCTCCCATTCCTCCTCTGGATCATCCAGATGGTCATTGGCAAACTTCAGATGGGCCTGGACATGCGCTGGCTTG